AAAACCACCATGTATAGTAAGGCGTTTTAACGCGAAAAAAACCACCATGTATAGTAAGGCGTTTTAACGCGAAAAAAACCACCATGTATAGTAAGGCGTTTTAACGCGAAAAAAACCACCATGTATAGTAAGGCGTTTTAACGCGAAAAAAACCACCATGTATAGTAAGGCGTTTTAACGCGAAAAAAACCACCATGTATAGTAAGGCGTTTTAACGCGAAAAAAACCACCATGTATAGTAAGGCGTTTTAACGCGAAAAAAACCACCATGTATAGTAAGGCGTTTTAACGCGAAAAAAACCACCATGTATAGTAAGGCGTTTTAACGCGAAAAAAACCACCATGTATAGTAAGGCGTTTTAACGCGAAAAAAACCACCATGTATAGTAAGGCGTTTTAACGCGAAAAAAACCACCATGTATAGTAAGGCGTTTTAACGCGAAAAAAACCACCATGTATAGTAAGGCGTTTTAACGCGAAAAAAACCACCATGTATAGTAAGGCGTTTTAACGCGAAAAAAACCACCATGTATAGTAAGGCGTTTTAACGCGAAAAAAACCACCATGTATAGTAAGGCGTTTTAACGCGAAAAAAACCACCATGTATAGTAAGGCGTTTTAACGCGAAAAAAACCACCATGTATAGTAAGGCGTTTTAACGCGAAAAAAACCACCATGTATAGTAAGGCGTTTTAACGCGAAAAAAACCACCATGTATAGTAAGGCGTTTTAACGCGAAAAAAACCACCATGTATAGTAAGGCGTTTTAACGCGAAAAAAACCACCATGTATAGTAAGGCGTTTTAACGCGAAAAAAACCACCATGTATAGTAAGGCGTTTTAACGCGAAAAAAACCACCATGTATAGTAAGGCGTTTTAACGCGAAAAAAACCACCATGTATAGTAAGGCGTTTTAACGCGAAAAAAACCACCATGTATAGTAAGGCGTTTTAACGCGAAAAAAACCACCATGTATAGTAAGGCGTTTTAACGCGAAAAAAACCACCATGTATAGTAAGGCGTTTTAACGCGAAAAAAACCACCATGTATAGTAAGGCGTTTTAACGCGAAAAAAACCACCATGTATAGTAAGGCGTTTTAACGCGAAAAAAACCACCATGTATAGTAAGGCGTTTTAACGCGAAAAAAACCACCATGTATAGTAAGGCGTTTTAACGCGAAAAAAACCACCATGTATAGTAAGGCGTTTTAACGCGAAAAAAACCACCATGTATAGTAAGGCGTTTTAACGCGAAAAAAAACAACCAAAACGACCATGTATAGTAAGGTGTTTTTTTGTCGAAAAAAACGACCTTGTATTGGAAGCCGTTTTTAGCCGAAAAAAACGACCATGTATAGTAAGGTATTTTTAGCCCAAAAAAACGACCAAAACGAACCATGTATAGTAAGGCGTTTTAACCCGAAAAATCAGATTTCCGGTGTCTTTTCGGGCATGGCCTGTTAGCCAAAAAAATGACCATGTTGCCGATCGTGAATAAAGTGCAAATAAAACACCCATTACGTACACTACCAAAATGTGCAAGCCAACTTTATTCATTGTTTCAAGACCCATTGGACCAAAACGACCATGTATAGTAAGGCGTTTTTTGCCGAAAAAAAACGACCATGTACAGTAAGGCGTTTTTAGCCGAAAAAAACCGACCATGTGTAGTAAGGCATTTTTTGCCGAAAAAAATTACCATGTATAGTCAGGCGTTTTTAGCCGAAAAGCCATGTATAGTCACTTCACTTTCGTTCAATTCAAAGAGCCAGCTCTTTGTACCGGCTCGTTCGCGACCGACACATCACTCCTCACACGCATGCGCACATCGGGGTGACGACAGCCATGTGAGTTTTAGCTTGACTGTCCTCCACTTTGTTTCTGTATTGAAGCAATATTTACTCACTGTCATACATTTTCCCTTTCAAGACGAGAAAATCAATCGGGTTTCGTTCTCCGTCGTTGAAGATGAGCGACAGCGACGACGACGTTCCAACGCTGTCGGCTCACACTCTGGCAGCTCTTCAGGAGTTCTACGAGGAGACCCGAGGAGAGAACACCCACAATGACCCTTCCCCAGACGCGGGCCACTTTGCCGTGGGAGCCGTAAGCGAAGACTGGGTGAGCAACAAACTGGTATCGGTAGACCAGGTTTGGCTGGACATACGATACGCGGGGTGACGTGATACTGTTACGTATAGATTGTGAATTGATGTTGCTTATGTACTCCTCTTTGAGACACGGAGTTCTTAAAATTATTTTTCACAGTACTTTTGCATTTTTGTTTCAAAAAGGTTTTCTCCATATTTTACCTGTAAAGTGATTCATTTTATACGAGTAATGTCTCTAACCTTGGCAAACACTCTCCCACAAAGTTTTGATGTGGCTGATGTGCTTAACTGTTTGCAGAATCCATTCAAGTTTAGTTCGTGTTGCCGTTCAACATCACATATGTGTTCTTTGTGTTGAAATTCAAATTCTATACGTTGATGGACTATCTTTCGTCTTTCTACATGTCAGCTTTGAGCAACTGGTTCGAATGTGTCAATGTCATGGACAGGATAATAGGAACCTTTATCACAACGCTAGATCCAAGTACACCGATGACGATAACTCTAAAAACTGCAAAGGCTTTTCTTTGCGTTTTCCTTTTGGCCCAGCGTCCTCGAATACGGCGCCGGAAACGAAGCATTGTGCGTGTAATGACGCCAGGGAGAAGGGTCTCTGTCATGGAAAAGTGAATGCTACCTTTGTTGCGTTTGCATAGAGGATGAGTCAGTTCTGGTACACTGACGACACGGCGACACGATTGGCTGAGGAGCTTCTGCACCAAGCTGGAGAAGGAGGAAGGTAAGACAAATAAAAACAGACGCACAAACCATGCCTTTCACGCGGAGAAAGCTGCTTCTTCCCGCAATTGTCCTTCACACAGAAACTTCGTCCCACGATCAGAGAATTGCATGATGTCAGGTCTGATCGTGAGCGCAAATGGTTGTTTGTCGCTGTGTGCCCTGCGATTGGCTGGCAATCAGTTCAGTGTACCCCCCAACTGCTCCAGCACACCCGCGACCCTCATGAGGATACGTGGATTAGAATGAAGGATGGAGGGTGTTGAGGAGAGAGGGGAAAAAGGTGAGACAACAGCCCCAGAACAGGATTGACGACCGCCGGGTTAGGGTTTCAAACTTGGGTTTGGGTTTACAGCTAGGGTTTTGACATTGGATTAGGGTTTCAAAATAGGGTTTTGAAGTAGGGTTAGGGTTTCAAATTCTGTATTTGAACTAAGTTTAAGGTTTTAAACTCTGGCTAGTGTTTCCAACTCGGGATAGGGTTTCAAATTAGGGCTTTGAACTTTCAAATGAGGGTTTTGAACAAGGATTAGGGTTTCAAACCTGGGGTTTAAACTAGGGCTTGGCTTTCAAAGTAAAGTTTTAAAGTAGGATTAGGGTTTCCACCTAGGTTTTCACCTATGGTGAGAGTTTTAAATTAGGGTTAGGGTATCAAATTAGGGTTTTCAATTAGAGCTACGGGAAGGGTTTCCACCTTGGTTTTGACGTCGGGTGAGTTTTATATTTGGGTTAGGGTTGAAAGTAGGGTTTTCAACTAGAGCAGGGTTTTAAGATACGGTTTGGTTTCAAACTGCAGTTTTGAATTAGGGTTTCCAAATCGTGTTTTGAACCAGGGTTAGGGTTTTGAACTAGAATTAGGGTTTCAAATTATTCATTTGAACTAAGTATGGGGTTTCAAAATAGGGTTTTTAACTCGGGCTAGGGTTTCCAACTCCAATTAGGGTTTCAAAGTAGGGTTTTAAACTATACAATACTAACATTACTCGGATAGAAATGCAGAAAAATGCCCACATTCGTGCCAGAGACTGCAGTTAGCATATAGCTTAGCATGCGTGTGACACGTAACGATGTCTCCCTCTTGATTTGTGCCGCAGGATCGCCTGTGTGAGTGCCCCGAGCGTTTACCAGAAGATCAAGCAGCTTTGCGGCCCCCGCGGCGGTCCGGCGGCCGTGGCGGTCCTGGAGTATGACCGCCGCTTCGCCATCTACGGCGATGACTTTGTCTTCTACGACTACAACCGTCCGCTGGCATTTGCAGATCAGGGCGTGGCCGCCGGCAGCTTTGACGTGGTCCTGGCAGACCCGCCCTACCTCTCGGAGGAGTGCCTCACCAAAGTGGCCCAGACTGTCAAATACCTCAGCAAAGGAAAAGTGCTGCTGTGCACAGGTGAGAAGACGCAATTTTCACACACATTTTAACTGATTGAAAGAACTCTATGTACTTCACATTTGCATTAGTGCTAGCTACACAGTTAGCATCTTTTTCTGTTGCCACGGCAACCTCAGCTCACAAAGGAGTCTATGTTGGACATCTGAACTTGTGTTAGGGCGAACAAATATATCATGTGCTTGTGTGTTTTAGGGATCCAACAAAACTTTTAAACTACATTTGACCCACTTAATATTATACGATGAAAAAAAATGGCTGACAGCATCCCGCACTTTAGTCGTATAATATTCATGAAGCAGCCAGGTCACCGCTCGAGTTTTCCGGTTTTTCTTGAATGTAGCACTTTGCCCATAGAACAGAATTGAACAGTCTGAAGTATCTGTCAGTAAAAATTGGAAGTCATTGTGGGTTGACGAAAGTAAAATGTTGATCACATCCTTTTGTAGTCCATATATTGGTCGGACCAGCCGCGGGCACCTTTCTGTCTTTGCACGAGCATTTATCATGCGAAAATGACTAGAAATGTTTATTTCAAGATGTGACGCGTTCCGTTAACATTTGGCTGAGCAGAATTGAGTATTTGAATGTCTTGTTGTTCAGGTGCCATCATGGAGAATCTGGCCAAGGATCTTCTGAATGTGCAAGTGTGCCACTTCCTGCCTCGGCACGAGCGCAACTTGTCCAACGACTTCCGGTGTTTCGTCAACTACCCGTCGGGGCTGCTGTCCTGCGGATGAGCGGGAAAGGGAGACGAGGGCGGGCGGGGGGACCATCCAGAGTGTTCCAGTTGATGATTGGACGATGTTCACAGGCTGGCGAGTTGCATGACTCCACGTCAAAATGCGAAATCTGGACGATGCTGGCACAGAACGGCAAGCGTGACAAAAACGTTACCACATTGTATATTTATGTACAAACTTCATGTTCCACTGTATTTACTACTGTGTCTATATATCATCTGTACTGCTGTGTATGGATGGATAAAATAAATGGCTATTAAAGTGAAGCTGTGAGAGCCCAACTTACAAGATGATGATGATGATGATGATGATGTTGTTTTCTATTCTGGCAGCAGCTCGTCGCCGACCTCCTCCCCGGCAAAGACGTCGTCATCCACCCGCTTCTTGGCACCGGTCTTGGGCTGGTTGGCGAGGGGACCCAGCGGGTCCACGTAGGAAGCGTCTATGCAAACACAAAATGGCCCCCGTGCTGAATGTTGATGGTTAGCACTTGGTGCCGTTTGACTGGACGAGAGATTGCAGCCGCCGCCACTCACCGAGTTCTTTGGTGCTTCCGCTGCTCTCGTAAGGCTCGCCAGAGGCGGGAAATGACATCACGGGGACAACCGCACGCTCGCCTTTGGGAAAGCTCTCTGAAACCAAAGAGACAAATGTAGTGTGTTGGGTCCACGCACATATCAGCTACATCAGAGATGCAAACTAAATCGAGCTGCAACTCAATTACGTTTTGGGGCAATTAATCCATTTAAAAAATACTTGTTTCCATCCCTGAAATTATAACATGACATTATTTCAAATTGACAATATAGTAATAGAGATCTCTCTCTCTATGGAGATCTTTGGCGATATCTCGATCGATATAGATCTATATATCTCTCAATAGCTCTATATCGCTCAAGATCTATATTGGGAAATATACTGTAGATATCTCTCTATAGATCTATCGAGAGATCTATATTGATATAGATCTCTATAGATCTAGAAATAGAGATATATTGATTTATAGATCTATTACATGCCTATGTGCCAATTTTAGAAGCGCATTAATAGAAGTCTCAAATTGGCCTCAGTGGTTTGTTTGTTTGTTTGTTTGTTTATTGAACATATATAAAACATACAATAACATGACAAAATGCAAACAAAAATTATGAAAGGAAAATAAAAGTAAAAGTAAGTAATACAAACATCATCACAGTTATATGTTCAAAGGAGTAGGAAGAAGTATACCACTTATCTAGTCCTACCCCTTTTTGAGCAATAATGTATATTGATCATTTCCAATACCAAAGAAAAAGAAGAAATCTAAATTTCATCAAATACTTTTACCCTTTTGTGTACTATGCTTATCTATTGATACACCTTTCGGTTTGTATATATGTATCATTATTCTTTCTACTTTTTATATCAAATGACTCATATTCATTATATATACCACATTTCTTGAATACATTCAATAAGTTGTTCAAAATCCAGAACAAGAACAAACCATAGTATTACTATATTTTATAAGTACCAGTATGTAAAATTTATCTTCTCAACTTTGTTTTATGTAGTTTTTTTGTACTAATCTTTTGAATTTGTTTTTGAACTCGTCCAAAGATTTACTCATTTTCAGATCCATCTCAAGCTTATTCCACAGATTAACTCGTGTTACATGCAGTGGTTACATGAATGCATGAGAAGTGAGCATGTAGTCCACTCGCACTGACCAGTCGTCGCGTCCGTACTGTCTGTTCTTCTATTTCTTGTACTTCCTTCTTGCTCTGCCTTTGCCCTCTGGAGAGAAAAAAAAAAAACTTATCAGACAGAGTGGGGAAAACGCACAAAGTTGACACTGGGCTATGAAATCAGCTTGCTCGTGAGCTGATCATTTGAGTCAAGTGTGTTGGAGGAGGGAGACCTCGAAAGGAGGTTGTCAAGTGGCTCTCGAGGACCCAACTCGGGCAGCTGCGTTACACCGGCAACAAAACGCACGCAGAGAGGACCTCGAAAAATAATTGCAGATTAAATGGCAAATATAATTACATTTCGAGCAAACCGGATTTTTGAGATCTTTTCCTTTCGGTTAACTTTGACCTATTAAAGCTTGCGCAATCTAGATGGCATCATGCATTGTCATTTTTTAGCTATGATGTTTCAGGGAAAAAAAAAAATCCACCTGTAGCTGAACCTCAAAGCCTTTCTTCATTAATATTAGCGATTATTATTATTATGACCAAAACCCGAGGTGCCTGAGAGAAAAAAAATGTGGACTCGTACTTGTTCTCGCAGTTCTTTCATCTTCTCCACCTTCTTGAGTTTGCTGGCGTAGTCGTGGACTTCCTTGAGGCCCATGTCCTGACACAGCCGCACCAGGAAGCGGAGACCTTCACGCAGGGCAACAATTAGTCGTCGCGCTCGCGGCCGCTGGACGCCACTTGAAGCTGGCTTACATTGCGCGTCTTCGGGGAACCTGCGGTGGATTTCTTTGCAGGTTTCAAGAGCTTTCTGGCTGTTTCCTGTCAGAAAAATTAAATGTTGAAGAGTGTCGGTGCCACGCGGCCAAGCGGACATGATGTGCTGAGATGCTGCAGGCGTCCTTTCTGACCGCTTCTCCTGTGACAGCTGGCCACCATCAGCTGCCACCTCACCTCGCTCGGTCTGCAGGAGAAACAACACTTAAAAAAAAAAAAATGTACAGGAGATTCAATCAAGCACAGATGAAATGTCCTCCCTCTTAAACAGGCAAGAGGAGCCGCTGCGGGTGCCTGCGCCGCCATTTCTCAACAGCATTTTTTTTTTTCATGCATTTTAAAAACATCTTCACTTGGTCTTGACGCAAATACTTTCTCACTTGGTTGTTTTGCTTTATTTAACGACAGAAATAGCATTTACTTTTCATATTTCTGTTCACTCCATCTAACCTTTTTTGGGGTGATATTTCTATCAAAATGAAGATTTAAAAAAGGCACGTTTCTCCAAATTTTCCTGAAATTTGATTAAAAACGGTGAAAAAAAAAGCGCTCGTAAATAGCTAATGGGTACGACATAAAAAATAAATAAATATATAAACATGAGCTCGAGTGTGTGTGTACACACCCACATTTTTCTTCCAAAAACGTGGTGGTTCTTTCCCCGCGAAATGACTCACTGCATGAGGATGGCCCTGTCAAAGTAGTGAATGGCCTTCTCGTAGAGCTGCGTCTGCACGTAGTAGGCCGCCAGCCACTCGATCACCTCCATGTTGCAGGGGAACAGCCTGAAGGACTGCGAAGGAAGTGACATCATCACACTGACATGGTGTGTGTGGGTGCTGGTGCGGGTGTGGGGGTACCTCGCAGTAGTAATGCAAGGCCTGCGACTTGTCCCCCTCCAGGTCGTGCAAGTCCCCCAGCTTGGCCAGAGCCTTGGGGTCGTTGGGGACCACGCTGATGACCTGCATCAGCCACTCCACCGCCTGGTGGAGGTCCTTCAGAAGCTCGTAGCTGACGCAGTTAAAGCCAAACATACCACACGGAACAAAGACAGGGGCCTAACTGGATTTGGGGGATTACGATATTTGGCAGAACAAAAAAATAATGTTGAATGAATGAAGCAACTTGGTTTTTGGTGCAAAGAATTAGAGGGCAGAACGTTGGCCTGTTTCCCAATACTTTGTCCCTTGGTATGTCAGAAGCATGTAACTTTTCAGCAGAGAGAAATACCCCCCCCCCCCACCTCGGCATGATATATTATTGAAGGAGGATACATGTCGGCCAGCTGATACATGACCTCGGCGCTGTCTCTGAGGATGGCGTGGAGCTTCAGGAAGCAGTCCAGCGCGTCCTCCAGACGATTCAG